ACAGAGAACAATCAGAGATGGACTGAGAAAAACCATAGTCAAGTAAACATTGAGTTAATTTATGAAACCACAGCCTGGATGCCTGTTTTAGTTCATAAAGACTCTTATTTAACTTGCAAACTCTAGTATCAGATTTAGAACAATATCCAGGAGGTGGTGTCATATAAACCTCTTCATCAAGATTCCCATGTAAAAAAGCATTATTGACATCTAGTTGTTCTAAATGCCAATGATTTATTGAAGCTAAAGCAATAAGAACTCTGACAGTTGTAATTTTTGCAACAGGACTAAATGTATCAAAGTAATCTACCCCTTCTTCCTGTGTATATCCTTTTGCTACTAGCCTAGCTTTATACCTTTCTATTGAACCGTTAGCCTTATATTTAATCTTGAAGACCCACTTACAGCCTATAGGATTCTTACCTGCAGGCAATTCAGTGAGATGCCAAGTGTTGGTCTTTTCTAAGGCTGAGATTTCCTTATTCATGGCTTCCTGCCATAAAGGGTTAGTAGAGCTTGCTTATATGATTTTGGTTCAATATCATGAGAAATGGCAGATGTGAAGCATGCATGATTATCAGAAAGACTGTCCATGGAAACAAAAGATTCAATGGGATATAATGGAGATGTTATAGAAATGTGGTGAGACTGATCAATAAAAGCTTGGTTAGAGGATGGATGGGATTGATGATTGTAGGCTTGAAGATAAGCTGGACTTTTTCTAGTTCTGGTTGATCTTCTGAGATTGTGTTGTTGGGATAAGGGTGGTAAGTTTGGAGATTGATGCTGTGAGGAAGGAGAAGCAACAGTGTTATGTTGAGGAGAAGTATGTTGAGAAGTATTTGATTGTGTAGGAGTAGGGTCTTGGTTATTGATATGGGGTGTGGGAACAGGTTGCTGTTGTACAGTTGGAGATAATGAGGGCAGTGAGTAATGGTCAAATGAATGAGGTTCAGAAAATAATGGTGTATGAGAATTAACATCAGATAGTTGTTTGAAGGGGAAGGCAGTCTCATAAAATACAACATTTCTAGATATTAGTGTATTCTTGGTTTCCAAATCATAAAGTTTATAGCCTTTATGACCCAGTGGATAACCAAGAAAAATGCACTTAGTTGCTCTGGGAGCAAATTTATGTCTATGGGACTGAGGAGTAGAAGCATAACAGAGGCACCCAACAGTTTTTAAATGATCAAGAGTAGCAGGTTTATTATACAGGATTTCAAAGGGTGATTTGTTTTGTAAAACAGGGGTGGGGATTCTGTTAATAACATGAACATCAGCTAATATGCAATCAATCCAGAAATGCAGAGGCAAGTGTGCATGAAAAAGAAATGCTCTAGCCACTTGTAAAATGTGCTGATGTTTTCTTTCAACCCTAGAATTTTGTTGTGGAGTTTCAACACAACTCTTCTGATGAATGATACCTTTTTCTTTGAAAAAATCACTGAGTATAAATTCTGTACCATTATCAGATCTGAGTGTTTTAATAGATTTGTGAAATTGATTTTGAACTAGGGCATGAAAATGTTTTATACTAGAACTTGTATCTGATTTTTGTAAGAGAGGATACACCCTTGTAGTTCTAGAAAAGTCATCTACAATGGTAAGAAAATACCTGTGTCCAGCATAAGAAGGAACAGAGAAGGGCCCCCAGACATTACAATGAATTAATTCAAAAGAACTATGTGCAATAGAGGCACTTAAAGGAAATGATAACCTTTTCTGTCTAGAGAAATGACAGATATCACATGGAGTTTTTAAGTTCACAGAGTCTGAGGTAGGAATATTAAGTTGCAACAGTTTATGAAATGAGAGATGCCCTAATCTAGAATGCCAGACATAAGAGGTTACAAGGTTATTACAGGTAGATGATGTATCATGTGTTACAAGGTTGTTGTAAGTATATGATTTACATGTAATAGAAGAGGTTGGATCAAAGTGATATAAGCCATCTTTTGCCTTAGCAGAACCAATCATCTTGTGGGATGTTAAGTCCTGTATAATGCAATGTGATGCAAAGAAATTTATTGCACAATTGTTATTGGAGGCTAAGTTTGAAATGGAAATCAAGTTAAATTTGAAGAATGGGACATATAAAGCTCTTTTGAGAATGATGGATGGGGATATGGTAATGTCACCAATATGAGATGCTAATGTGCTTTGACCATTTGGTAAATTGACATGAATAGATATGGGATGCACATTAGATGTAAATAGAGAGATATCACATATCATGTGGTCTGATGCTCCTGTATCTAGTATCCATGTATATGTATTATGAGTAGAGCAAGCAGAACATGAGATAGAATTAGTTATACCTGCTGCAGAGCTGGGTTGAGTGACACAGGCATTGGCAACAACAGGAGTATGATTAGTCTCAGATGATGATGCTTGAGATTTCTCATAAGACTTTTTAAGCTAAGAATTCATGAAAGAGATGGTCAGTCATGGAAGGTTCAGAAATATTCAGAGAATTGTTCTGTGAGGATGTCAGAGAGTTAGCAGTGTGTTTAGGATGAATCCTGGTACCACGGGGACCATCCCAATTTGAGGGATAACCAACCAACTGATAGCATTTATCACTAGTGTGGCCTAAGTAACCACAGTGGGAGCATTTTGGTCGAGATTTAGTCTGGTCTTTAGGGGCAGTAGAGTGATCAGAGGATTTGAAGTTTGGTTTGTATGTGTTCTTAGGAGGGAAGTGAGTTTTGACAGCCATGGCTATAGGAGCAAGCTGTTTTGAAGTGGATTGAAGGGCTCGTTGGCTTTCTTCTTAAAGGAGAAGGGAATAAACTTTGTTTAGTGAGGGTAATGGTGTGGACAGGAGAAAGTGAGACCTCAGGGCAGAATATGACTCATTCAGGCCAATAAGAAATTTGATCACAGAATCGGATTGTTGGGACAAAGTCATGGATTCAAAAATGTTGCAAGTACAAGAAGATAAAGCACCACAAGAGCAAAGGATAATAGGTCTGAAAGATAAGTATTCATCCCAAAGTGTTTTGAAAGAATTGTAGTACTGAGTGATGGTCATTGAGCCTTGATCCATCGTACTTAAAGATTTTTCGATTTGGAAAACACGAGGACCACTGCTCTATGCATATCTGGTTTTTAACTCATCCCATACATCTTTTGCATTTGTAAAGAAAAGCAGAGATTGTCGTATGTCTTTGGAAATTGAATTCAGTAACCAACTCAATACGAGATTATTCGCGCGTGTCCATGCCAAAAACTCAGAACTGTTATCAGTAGAAGAAGGTATAGAGACAGTACCATCGAGCAAACCTAATTTGTTTTTGACAGATAGAGCCATGGATACGGTGCGTGACCAAGAGACATAGTTGTTACCGTCAAAGACCTCAGCCACAATGATCGCCCCGGGGTTATCACTGGGATGCAGAAAGTATGGAGAGTTTGGATCGTCGGAGAGACGAACAACCATGAAACCTGCAAGAGAAAATAAAGAATAAACAAGATCTAAAGAATAACAACACAAATTGAAATCAGAAGCGTACAAAAAACAAGAGTGTTTGTACAGATCTGATTAGAAATTGTGCAGATCTTCAGTGATTTTATCAGAACAAAATCGAAATGGAAATGACGATCTAGGGCAAACCAAACCAAATCGATTCAAATCTGTGAGATATAGAACAGATCGAAGTCGATGAGATTCAATTATTACCAAATCGATGGGAGATGAACAGAGAAAAAAATATCGATAGATCTGGTGATAACAACGAGAAAAACAATAGGTTTGATCTTGATATCGACCAAACAATCGAGAGATTCAGAGATTTAGAGAGACAATAGATGCAGCGGAAAATCGAAACAAGATCGGCGATCAGCCAGCAACTGATACCATGACAAGATCAGAATCAAAACACATAGATGCAGAGAGAAGACGGAAAAGGAAGAGAAAATATTATTGCAGAAAGTAAAAGTAATGTTACTGTACATCTGAGTATTTATATGAGAGGGATTAAAACCCTAATAATACAAGAAGTGCTATTCCTAATACAAAAATGCTAAACCTATTTTTATAATAAAAGATAAAAGAGTATTTACATAATATTTATTATACATAAATATATATTATTAGCATATTCAATTTATTGCATCATTCCATAGTTATTACTAATTATTTTAATGCTCGGTCTATTAATTGTTTTTATGTACTACATTATATTTTTGTAAGTAATTATTCACTTCAGCTGTAATATTTGGTGTTTTTTCTTAGTAATATAGGATTTAATTAAATTCAATGTATAAGATATATTACATCTTAATATAAAAAATTTTGAAATAACAGAGCATGCAAGATATGCAATTTCACCTGATCGAATAGTAATCGCAAGAACTACCAATAATGACTCAATTGTTAACGAGTCTCGTGATCTGAAATAATCTCAAACACAATTTTAATATACTAAATTCATAAGTTATATCATAGTCAGAGCATTTTTACTATTTATTTTATCTATTTATTGTGTAATGAAAATGTATGTCTCATGTGTGTGTATTATAGAAAATTATATATCTTCTCTAAAGGTGTTATTCAAGTCAAGTCAAGCCAAAAATATCATGTTCAAGCTCATGTTTGATTAATATATGAGTCAGCTCGGCTTGACTCATTAATAAACAAGTAAGATCTAACTCAGTTAATACACAAATTAAATTAAGTGTTTGAGATTAGTTCCTTTAAGTATACATAAAATTGAGCTTGAGTTCTTATGAGTCAAACTGAACTTGTACGCAAACAGTTTTGTTCGAATAATAGCTCTAGTCCCCCCTAAAGATTTTTTCTAGATCCGCTTCTGGTTTAATGCAGCATCGTGACACTTGAAAGAGAAGGATATAGTAGTAATGTTGATTCCAATATATAAATCAATGTTTGTACTCAAATAACTAAACTATTTGATCATCATCACTTCATCGTTTAGTACAACTGTGGATTGTAGTACAATATAGAATAAATAGATGTTCGAATAACTAATGAACTAATCAGAATTTGATTGCGTTTTCATACGACTGACACTTGCTTGCTTATGACACGCACGCGAGACTGCGACTGGTGGGTCGGATAAAGACTCGTTAACTATTCGGTCCGCAATCCATTTGTTGGCAGCTTCAGTATAGTGCACCCCATCCCAGCTGATGACTTCAGAAGGATTAGGACAAGAAGTTGCAAATACTTCAGTACCGTTTACATTTCCTGTGTTTCCACAGTAAACATCATAGTCGACCCCATGATAGCCGCAGCATGTGGCGAAAGGGTCTTCAAATCCTGCAAAATTGCTCAACAATAAGTAGCGCTTAATATCTAATGTTGAGTAGCGCTTTTGTGGTGAATGTATTAATGGGTTTTAATTACCTTGATCCTTGGCTGTGCTGATTAGTTCATACTTGGCAGCATACACATCAACATAGACTATGGATGCATTGGAAAGATTGGCCCTCAGCTTCACAATTTCGTCCTTTAATACTTTATTGAATAGCAAAGCTACGTCGTTTTGGGTCTTCACACAGCCAAACTCATCAAGGTACCCTGGCGGCGCAGGCTTCTGTACCTTTGCAATTGCCACGGGCAAGCACCCGATTGGGCCTGTGTTGTGTATCCAAAATGTTCGTGCTCCTCTTTCGTATAAAACCTACGTTTTATACGTTATGTTGTAATTTGTATTATTTTTGGGATATTACTCATAAAAACAGTACGTTATGCACTTTGTATCGGTTTTAGGACATTAATCCCCAAAAATACTGAATCATTTTCGCTATAATGTTCCAAGAGTAAACAAATTGCAACATAACGTACTATTATTGATGAGGGAAAAATTATTATTTTATTAAGACAATGTTTGTACCATAGTGTCAAGTCACTTTATGATATACAAGTAAAAACATAAGGGTGAAACTTACTCGAATTTGTGAGATAAACTGAGCAACGATTGTGGGTATGGCTTCCTTTTGGTGTTGATAACTTAAAGTTCGGATACCAAAAGCGACATCGTTTTGGCCTATATCCACTGTGAAAAGCGCCTTGGACAAATCCAGATCAGGCTTTGGTAGTCTGTATCTTACACACTCGTCCTTGCCTGTACGGATAATAACAAGACATTAATGTAGTTATCCCTAATAATATGGATATAATAGTGATTAGTAATCTGGACCCTTAGTTAGTTATTTTGTTGTATCGGTAAAAGTATTTTTGTAGATCAAAATTGTAGTTCAGACAACCGATAATCGACATATAAAAGCGCAGCGGGCAACTACAAGCTCGGTTCATTACTCGCGAGGTGCGAATATTAATTTGTTAGTTACTTACTTTGATTGTAGAGATGAGGTGCTCTGTCTTTAAGCTGGGTATAATGCTCAACTTGGATTTCAAGGGGGAATGGGCTGACACCGGTGGCAAACCAGGTCTCGTTAGGCCTGACGATGGTTGCACCTCCTGTTGCGAAATTTGCACCTTGCTGGTAATTGGATCCAATTGAATCAAGGTATGAACTCAGGTATGGTATCCCCACACTATCAGCTTCATGCCCAAAAAAAAAATAAAAATAAAAAGGTTTAGAGCCTAATTTTAGTTATCAATTACTAAAATTTAAATAAAGTTTGGTTACACAGTTTTTTGAATAAAAATTTTATTTTATAGCAATATATCATATTTTTCTTCTGTCAACGATTTATTATGTGACATGATTATTTCATATGTAAAATTAAATACATTATTTTTATAACACAAAATAAATTGATATTTATCTTTCAATATCAACACAAAATAAATTGATATTTATCTTTCAATTATCAATTTGAAAATGAGTACCTTTGGGGCTCCTAATAAAAGTAAAAATATATAATAAGTAAAATATTAGTACAAAACCAAATATACAAAATTTAATATTTTTATATAGGTTTTGAGATATTTTTTATTAATAATATGAAAAAAGTTGTGTACAACAATTTGAGGCATCAATTATATAACCATGGAATAAAAATAAATGCAAATAACTCACTATGCATGAGAGAAGAAATCATAATGTTCAAAGCATGCCACATTATGAATTATGAAAAAAAAAAGTTGGTATTTTTTAAATAGCATAATTTAAACATTATGAATTCGTCAAATTATAAATGTAACATATGATAATATTTATTTATGTTTAATGAGGCGTTATCAATACAAAGTAAATCTATATCTTTATCTACTTTGTACTATGAGTTCTGAGGAAATCTCCCTCGCCGCACTACACCCTATCACGGCGATCTTCGACCCCGGAGTCGATCCACCGGCGCACATCACAGACCCAAATTTTCCGCCTCTCTCTGCAGCCTCCTTTCCCGCGTCTAAACGTCCGAGAACCCAGAAAAGGGAGGGCGACTCTCTTGACCCTCAAAGTAACGCACAACAGGCAAAACCTTTTACACCGCAAGTGGACACCAACGGTGACACGAGAAAGGCCCCTTTGCGATGGACTTTTCGTGATATGGTCAACAAACATAGATCCCATGTGGAGATGGACCAAGAGGCCGAAGAAGCGACTGAGGATGGTGAGGAGGAGATTTCGGTTGATTTCTCTTGTCCGGTTCCTGATGTTAAAATTACCCAACGATTCTTTGACCGGATAAGTAAGGAGTGGCAGAGTGCGGTAGTCATCAAACCCATCGACGAGTCCATCTCTATGGCGTCCCTGTATAATCGCCTCACTAAGTTGTGGCCGTTCATGGCCGGTTGTAACATGATGGATCTGGAGAACGGGTTCTACCTCATTCAATTTGGAATCAGAGAGGACGCGGTGAAGGTGCTAACGGGAGGCCCCTACGTTATTGGAAACGACTACATGCATGTCCAACCATGGTCTATTGAGTTCGATGCAACCAAAGAAGAGGTGACTGTTGGAACCCACGAGGATCTCGATATGCACAAATCACAGACAAACATTCAA